CACTGACTTAACACGTAAAATCGTGTCTTTATATTGTTGAAACATGATCTTGGACTGTAAATGAAGCAAGGAACTTTGACAAATTATAAAGAGGAGCGTAGTAGCCTGACTGTGTCGCATTAGCTTGGTCCCACTGAATTGTTTCCCGTGTAGTGTACCTCCCTGGCACCGAAATACAACTAGGGCTAAAATAAATAGATTAAATTAAATTCACCAAATAAACCTCTAGCTCGCCTCAGGATGCTTTAGGTGTTTTAAGTTTCGTTTTAACAAGCATGCATCCAAGCGGGCTTGGGCGCCACTTTGCGCTTCCTTGGTGCTGGTTACCACGCACGTACTCAGAGTTCCTAGCTCAGCCATACAAGCCAGATAAGTTGATTAAACTTTCCCCCCATCCATTACCATTGCGTTTACTTTAATTGAATACATTACTTCTTCAAACATATTCTCAAATCAGTCGTTCTGATTTGTGTTTCGTTATCAGTACTTACACGTTAGGTAAGGTACTGGTTGAGCGGGTACTAAAGCACATCAAATTAAGCGGGGTTGATCGAACGTTACGGAATATTAATACGCACCCTTACACTCACCGCCAGCCCGAATAGCTTGGATTTTGATCTTAACAGATAATAATCATAGTTTATGAATTTGCAGATGCAGACATAATATTTAGTGAGGAAACATCTGATAATGTTTTTCAACCATATCTTTTCCATCCCAGGTAGTGGAGATCTTGAGTCTGATAGAAGGAAGACTTTAGCCTAAACAAGAATTGTGCACTTTGAGTTAAGTGCTGAATTTTCGTCGTGCCTCCCGATTATCTGACAGAAATGGAAGTTGTGTTTTGTGAATGTGCAAAACATTCAAAAAATAAGATGAAGTAGTCCAGTGAACTCATTCTCGGAAAAGTTTTGTGCCGAGCGAATTGCTCGAGTGTTTTCATTTAAAAGATCATGTATACAGAGGTGGCGGATTATCTTGAGGTGCTCTACTTCCTCTGAAGAGTCGGCATAAGCCAGCTGCATTCGGTTCTGTTCCCAGCTTCTTGAAGTAGTCATCTCATTTCCCCCTATCGGACTGCTCCTCTTTTCCTAGAGTGAGTCTTTTGGTGTGCGAAGATTGAACAGTGCCTGTTTTCTTGTCCCATGAGTGCAGGATATCGCGTATGGTGGCCAGCGTTTTTCACTTGCCCCCTCACGTATTTATTTTCGTCCATTGGCCTTGACACAGCGTCTATCTTCACCTTATTCACCTTCATCGGATCTTCTGGGTTGTACCAGAACACGAAGTGAAGACATTTTGGGGCAGAAACTGGTAGCTTCCTATCCCCAGGGGGGACAGCTCAGCGTGCTTCTGGCCTGGGCATACACGGAGCCTGCTCAATTTCCGTGTGTAGATTTTCGGGGTTTGCATCCCATGATATCTTGGGTTGTACCTGGTCCCTCAGTTTGCCGACGGTAATGGCAGATAAATTCCGACATTCCGAACGTTTGTACCACGTCCACTTACGTCGGCGAATCGTCATGAAGCTTTGGTACTGACCTGGTATACTCTAACCACAATTGCAGTACACCCATTCTCAGCCAATGCTGCTCCTAAGGGTCTCTTTTTCCTCCGACGCTGGCACGCTGTAAATGCCAAAGTCGTTAGGGTTCGCTCCCCATTGGCAACTGTATGATCTACTTTTTGTGGGTTAAGGTCGAAAACAACATGTGTTGGTATGCTCGTCTGTCAACTAGCGTTCTTTCTACCAGCGGGGTCTTTGCAGGCGCATCACTGTCAGTCCGACCACATGAGCTTAGGGCTTCGGTAATTGCTGTGTCTGGTGTGAAGGTGATGCAGGGATCCTGGGTGCTGTTGGCACACTCGCGCTGACCTCTTCTGCACATAGCAGTTTCTGTCCGTCTGCTCGCCTCATTACAAGAGTTGCAGCTTGTGATCTAGTTCCCCGCACCCCTATGTTTAAGTTGTTTAAAATAAATGAATTATATGAAGGACAAAGAGAAGGAAGGGCATGGAAGATGGCTTACAACCGGGAACTTGATCCCTGATCTTCTCCATTTTGCCAGCTACTTTAACCAAATGTTCCAATTGCGTGTGTGTATCTTGGGAAAGGTGTTTTTTGGCGAGCAGTCTTTGAAAAGATTCAAAGACCATAGCTGTTGGACAACCCAGACGACTAAGAGGCACCACTAGGAAGTCTTTCGAAGTTAACATGATGGTTAGGTTGTCGAAGGTAGCAATTTTCACACCTAGTTGATCAACTTAATCGCGTTCACTGTTACGGTGTGGCAAAAAGCTGCTTTTCAGTCATAAAAACCGTACTGTTGATTCTGAAGTTGGGGATGAACAAGGCACGACATCTTTCAAATGGAGCTTGCAAGCTGCAACCGCCACTGCAAGGTTAGGTATTCTTCTCAATCAATCCATTCTAACCGTTCAAATAGTGATCATCCAGATCCCAGCTCCTCTTGGAGACAGTGATCACTCTGTAGCGGCCAGAATCCAATAATCTTGGCCTGAACGCGGGAAATAGCTAGGCGGTGCCAACTGACGTGAATCTTGCTTTCGTAGCCATTTTGGTACATATTCCCCCTACCCTCAGGTGCATATCACGATTAGTTCTCCCTATGTATGTTTGTCCACACACATACATGTAAATTTATAAACGCAGTGGGATGTGAGGCAATCGTTTATACAACGTTGAGGTCTAGGTAGCAGTAGGTGTTTGGTCTTCTCAACTAAGATAAGTTTAGCTGCATAGCACATTTCGCTAACAGCAGACCTTAACCTTCGTTTTAATATAATGCTGTTAGATTCTCCTCGGTATGGTAACGTGATGTAAACGCATTTCTTCAAAACAGAGTACAGATTAGGTTTGAATCCTTGCTGATTTTTGCTGCAGTTTATGAACTTCAATGGATATCCATTTTCCACTATTGTTCCTGTTTGTATTTTGGTATCATCATCATCCATTGAGTGTTCCGTACAAATACACTGGATCCTTTTTAATAGGCAAGTTACCAAACTTCGCTTGTATTTGAGTTGGACAAAAGCTATGGAAACTTAAATACTGACCTGTCCAAGTAGGTTTCCTGTAGATCGACCGTTTTATTGAACCATCATTTCTATGACTTAGGAGTATATCCAAGAATGGCAGACGGTTTTCTTTCTCTTCTTCACGTGTCAGGCTTATGTTGTTTTGTAGATTGTTAAGTCTTTCTAACAAACATGTCGCATCTTCATGCTTATCACATATCACGATTATGTCATCAATATATCTTTTATAGATAGTAACTTTATTGATGAGATCGCCGGTCTTCTAATTACATTATCCAAGTTCTTTATTGTTCAAATTATCGTGAAAGTAACAAACTGATGGGAAAGGGATACATTCAATCCACCAATCTTACTAAAGCAAAGATTCAGCCAATACGTCGCTGGTTCGAACCCCGCTCCACTCATCCAAATTTGGGAAGCGGGTTAGTATCAATAACCATCATTAAATAAGTATGGCTGATTATTTACTGTATACATGTTTACAGGGTTGCTGAAGATGTTTCGATTTCGATTTGTGCGTAATCGTACAAAATCTATAAACTTCGAGTGTACTTATGTAATGAATGGTGTATACTTGAGGGTTAGTGGAACGGAAGCGATCACATGAGTGAGTGTAATCTCTTCTCGTTTCACCAGTGGGGGAGAAACCAAAATACTGGTGTAAAATGTAGATTTATTGAAATTGTACACCAGAAAAAAATCATTCTTTTAGGGGAGAGTTTAGGGAAGATAACCAACTTGACCAATGAATTAAGTTTTGAAATCCCCTTCTATTATACCTAATCACTCTATGTTTCAGTATGTCGAAATGGAGACGTGATTAATCGACTGAAACACTTAGTTTTCCATCAGATACTCTCAGTTTCAAACACTTCTGTATCTATTGATCATTGATACTTGTAATTTCGCGCTGCTATACTGGGTCGAGTTCGGAAAAACAAGACAGGCTTTCATTAACTTGAAATCAGTGTACAGATCTACTGCACTCAGCACAAAGAACAACGTCCGTATTTTCAACATCAGCGTCAAGTCAGTGCTTCTGTATGGCTCAGAGACTTGGCGGGTTACGAAATGCATTTCCGACAAACTACAGATATCCATCAACAGCCTACTCTGGATACTGAAGATTAGATAGCCAGAAAGAATAAGTAACAAGGAACTCTGGCAATGAACCAACCAAGAACCCATCACCCAGGAAATATACAGAAGAAAGTAGAGATCGATCGGGCATACACTGAGGAGGCTAACTGGGACATCACGCGTCAGGTCAGGCCCTGGAGTGGAGTCCAAAGGGGAAACGACGAGTTGGACATCCAAGGTGAGGGTGACATGGAGATCATGTGAAGAAGAAATGAAAGCTTGTGGGCAGTCGTGGAGCCAGGTTAAGGAGATTACAGAGAAGAGAGTGCAATGGAGGAGTGCTACTGAAGCCCTATGTTTCACTAGGAACCCCAAAAAAAGTAATAATGATAATAATACTGGGTCGAGCTGTTCAACATCTGTTGGTAGATGGACTCCTGTGTGAATGCCTCGATACTGCTGAATATTCATAATGTTGTGTTCATCGTGTTGACTAGTAGTGGAGTTCAGGATACACATTTCATCGTTCTATTTGGGACTTGTCAACCTTGATGTACTCCTCATTGAGTCATGTTGTTCCCACTGTACCCACCGCTTCAAACGCCGAAGCGTTATCCACCAAGTCATTGATGATTCTCAAATAGAACGTGATTCACGTCCTGAATTCCGCTGCTAGTCGCCAAATAGACTGTTATACCGACTTGATCCAGGCTAATCAAGTCATATCATAAGCCATACTCACACAAAAAGTTCGACTCATTGACTGATACCTAATGCTGTACTGAATTAAGTCGTGATATTTGATAATGATACTTCTGTTTATTATCTCATCTCTGTGTATTTGGAAAAACAAAATTTAGGGTAAAATATGATTCTAAAGCATCGAAGTATCCATCAAGTGGGAATGGATACACTGGTAGTGGAGGCAATAACTATTCTAATTACCAAGTTAATTCTCGTGGGAATATTTATCAAACACAACCAGGAGGTCAAATGCAACAACAACAACAACAGTCAGGTCCATTTATCACCAGGTGAGTAAGATTGTTCCATTCTCATTCTCATTTATTTACTCTGTGTAGATAGATTCACTGGATTTGAGATACTTCACTACTGATAGAGGGTATGAGAACAACTTGATACTTGCCTATTGTCTATACTGTGATAAGTCACTTCCTATTAGGGGTATCTGGTAAACGAAGGAGTTTAGTAAGGAGATTCTTATCAATTTAGTAACAAGATCACAGACTTCAATCAACAAAAATGGCTGAGATTGAACATATGGGACCTTTTTACTTAATAAAACTGAGTCGCCTCTTTGTGCTATAATATTGGCAATAATAACAGAATGATGCTAATGATGGAAAGTGGTTAGCAGTGGAGTCGAAGGCGCACGTTTCCTTGTACTTGAGGCTCGCCAGCTAAATGTATCTGCCTCCTAGTGAGTGATGTTATCCTCATTCAGATTCATACCCAGAACTGTTCGCTTTAAACATTGGTGCATTAATCGCTACACCACTGAGTCGTAATAGTGATCCATTTTACATCGGTTGTAATTTCCCGTTGGTCAAATCAACGACGTAGTGGATAACGTTTTAGAGTTAGAAGCAATCAGCTTTGGTTTTGAGTCCCACTGGAAACTACATTGTCCACTGGTAGGCGGGTTTACTCAGATGACGAGTCCCAACTAGGACGAAAAGCACATCCTAGATTCTGCTACTAGCCTCTATTCATCGTTACTATCGAACTAAAATTACCAGCTATACCGGGACATGGGAGTTTTTTTTTAGGGAGCGGAGGAGACGACAGTCAGTTGATGTATTTGTGGACTTTCATCGGGTTAGGTGGCTTGGACATTTGTATCGCATACTTAATCACCGTCTGCCTCACAAGCAAAATGGTATGAGCCCTGTATACTCTAGTGGGCGTCCGTGTGATAACAAAGCTAGTAGTTTGAAACTCTAAGTGATATGATTGTGGATGTATCTGAGTGGCACAGACATATTTTCTTTATCCTGTTTGTCATACTAGATTTCAGGATTGTTTGGTGCCTCCTTGCCTATTTTTATGACTTGCTACCACTTTCGACTGCTTCCTTCTCTATTTCTGTGTTGTCCAGCTTATTGCTTTCTCGCTTGATTTGCTGGGATGGGGTGTGGCAACTCAGACTGTTGCTCAGTTATATCAGGCTCTAGGGTGATATTGTCTGTGTGTCTGTCTGAATCATCAGTTTGAACTTGGCTTCTTTTATTGATTTCTAAACAGTCAAGTGTTATAACTAGTCTTAGGTACGCCTGACTTCACTTGGATTGATCTAGTCTCTGGAGGTCATCTGGTCGACTTGGAGTTGCAGACGCTAACGTCCTGTTGCATGGAAATGGTGACACAATACAGGGTCTTGTGAACGCGTTGGGTAGAAATTTGAATATGTTTGGCATGCTCTTCACTGGCACCTATCAAATGTTAGATGATACTCCAGGCCTGGTCTCCTGCATGTACTTCTAGTTTAATGATAGGGAGTGAAGTGGTGTGATGCGTTGATCACTTCATTTATTTAGGGAGATGCATAAGCCCGAACGGGCTGTTTGGTGACAATCTCAGGTTGGTTGCAGAAAACCCGTTTGGTATTCGTCAACTTGCGTCGCATTTGGCGTGACTGGTGAGATATCTATCGAAAGATGAGTATACTGCGCCATCACAGTTCGTTCTATCCTGTCACTTGTTTATGAGATATGGCCGTTAAAAGGAGGAGAAATGAAGCGGTTGTAAGTTTTAGATAGTAAATGTCTTCTCAGCATTGTTCTCATTTGGTGGAATCACTATGTGAGCAATGCTGAGGTCAGGCGAAGGGTACTTGGCAAGACAGGCAAGTCGATTGATGAGGTTGTGAACCTTAGTCGACTGAGATGGCTTGGATGTATGCTGTGCATATCGAATCACCACCACCTACCTTGACTTGTCAAACTGCGGGGTGGGAGAAGTTGAATTAAGTTGGAAGGAGAGTTCAAGGTGGCTAGACCAGACGTAGCACAAACCGATGAAGTCCCTGGTTGTTGGCCGGAGTTGTTTCAGTATCGTTAGACCTCATAAGTTTTTTTTTAATTGTAACGTAGTACATAAACGAGCGTTTGAAATGTTGCTGCTGAGTTATATCATTACTATTCATCTCATTGGGAACAATATTCTCTATTCGATGAAAGGATTTGATCAATATGAAATAAATTAGAAAAAGACATATAAGTGAACAATATGGTTTTCAATTAGATCCCCTCATCAGGCCTTACTCTAGTACGAATAGCTTGAGGTGTATATAAAGTCAAACCAATGATGTGGATTAGTCGGTTAACCTGATAATCCTGGATTCCATACCTAGTCACTATCCATCATTACTATAATTAGAACACAGGTAATATCGAGGCATCTACACAGGAGCCCATATGCCAGTAGAGAGAGACTGATCAATTCTGTCCAATCAACAATAGTATAATACAAGCAATGATACTAAAAGTCTACCCATCACACAAGAAGTGGCTAACATTGGCTCGGTGGTGTAGTGGATAACGCTCTGGCATTCGAAGTGATCCCTCCCTCCCGTGTCTGAATCCGGGTGGGAACAGCACCACTCACTTAGAGGCAGGTACATTTAGCTAACGGCGAGTCCCAAATGGGACGACGAAATGTGCATCCATGATTCCACACTGCTAGCCATTATCTATCATTACTACAACCTGAAAAATGTTTTAAAATAATAATGGTGATATTGATACAAACGACAATAATGATGACGATTATAAGAACAAAGAAAGCCGTGTGAAAATGTAGGCACAACATGATACTAAAGGTGGGTGAAAAGCTTGTGAAAATAAAAGTTACGCAATACTGAAAGACGAGGTAAGTGGATAAACAAAGTCTAAACACATACAGTAAGTATATGAAAGTGGTGGAGAATCAGAAAAGGTGTGGGGAAAAAGCAACAACTGAATGATAAAGTTATTAATTAAGTATTCCCTGGCCAAAGGCAGAGACGATAAGCGATGTACAAATTTCTTCTGGATACAAAGACTAGGATTATTAGCTGGAATTCCCACAGCTTCTGCTATGTGTAAAAGACGAGTTTGAATACCTTTCGAAAGATGAGATGGTATACGGTGTATAATTGTGAAAGCAATGTTCTTATCTACCAGGTGACAACCGTCAACGAGGTGAGATCAAAACGAACTTATGATGGATTTTATCTGTCCCTTTCTCAACCATGAAGGTAGATGCTCAGCAACACGTTTGTTAAGTTGTCTAGTAGTACGCCCTATACAGCTTTTTTCACATGAGCAGCTAAACTAGTAAATACACGTAGAAATGGAGAAACTAGATAACTTATCTTTTGTCTGAGCAACAACAATTGGTCGACTATAAAATGACAGACAGAGTTGAGTGCCTAAAAGGTCCTTTTAATGGCTCTAGAGAGTCTCTGATATAAAACGTCTACATCTACATCTCCACTGAATTTCAATTTCATAAACAGCGGTTTCTTTTGTATGGCAATAGTACCAGGTTTGTTCCTCCTGGCTTTGTCCATGTGTCTTTTTTTAAAACTGTTAGGGTAGCCCATTTCAACCAGTGAATTTTGGATATAGTCTGACTCCTTCTGTACCAGATCATCCGAACATACTGTTCTCGCTCTGTGTTAGTGAGACACATTTAACCAGATTTGCTCTGAAAACAATATTGTTCGCTTATATGTTTTATTCTGATTTACACGATGGGGGGGGGATATCTTGATTTGATGGTAGATATATACATCTGCATAACTTGCTTTAAGTAATTACCCCACATCTATAGGGCATTGAATATAATGACTTCAAATTCTCATAACATTTTCATCTAACTTTGTGTTTATTTCTTTATTTGGGATGTGGTTCTCACCACCCAAATCCTAATTATTGCTCCAGGATTGCTCTTCAACGGTGCCACGGCTAACAATAGACAGTGTAATGGTTGAGTGTGTCGACCACTTCACTTGCCTGGGAAGTGAAGGGAAGCAAGATTTCTGCACAAATACAAATGGCTCGGTTGGCTTTCGTTAACTTACGCCACCTGTGGTGCCGCCGTGATGTCCGATTGTCTCTTGAGGGTCTCGTGTGGTGCACGGCAGTCCACTCTGTTCTACTCTATCGCTGTGAAATATAGTCATTGAAGATGGAAGACATGAGAATGCTTCAAGTATTTGACCACCGTTGCCTTCATAGTATAGGACGTATTCCATGGTGTCACCTCGTGAGTAACGCAGAAGTCAGTGTCAGGTGTAGAGTTTTAGGGAGAAGAGGTAAATGAGTTGACTGACAGGGTTGTGAACCTTCATCGACTGAGATAGGTGGTTGGCACACGTGTTACGTATGTCTAGTCGTCGATTGCCTCTTCACACAATGTTGGCTGGAGTAGGTCCAGGCTGGAAAAAGACTCGAGGTGACCAATGTATGAAGTTGTTGACTGTTGGTTTGAGTCATGTGGGATGATGCAGACTAGGTGGTTGAGGTCAGCGGGACAACTGGAACCAGTGATTGGAGACTGACTCAAGGTGATCACATGGCTGAGAACCGATGTGAGTGGCGCAGATGTATACACATACACACATTATCCTCATCTTAACATAATGCCGATTCTCATCATTTTCTCATTCTTCCTTTCTCTCTTTTAGTACTTTGTATTGGTTTCGATTGAATTCTGTTTCCTTCATCTTCCACTTGATTGCCTTGTTTACTTGATGTGGTGATATGAGGTGTGGCAAGTTGGACCGTTACGTAGTAATGCCTGGTCTTATGTTCACATTGATTATTATTATTTCTTTATTTACTATTTACTTTTAAGAATCACTAATGATGCCCGTGAAGATGAAATGGAACAGAATTTAAAACAAGTCTCTGGAATGGTAACACAACTTCATTCTATGGCTACTGATATGAATCAAGAGATAACTACACATAATCAAATTCTGGATCGTATCGATCAAAAGGTTAGTTTTATTGATCAACTTAATTGTTATACAAAGTTGGACTAAGCCTGAAAGTGGGTAATATCATTTGAAGGAACATTGAAAACTCGGTAGTGAAGAGATTGCGAAAAATTGGAACGGTAGTTCGTTGCATATGGTACACCTTACAATAACCCAGTCATTTGCAAATATGCTTCGTTTCCTCTTCTGTTCCTCTCTTGATTTGTTCTTGATCTGTTCTTCGCACATTCTTATCAGCAGCATCCACTGTAATACGCCTGCGTTATCCTTTGCATTGCTTTTGGAAGAAACCTTAACCATTGCCGGTAATTCCCTATGATTCCTGTCACCCTCTCAACATATACTACTTATATCCATTGTTATCAGCAACGCCCACTACAGTAGCACTGAACACCTGTTTTCATTCTAGTAAAGGGACTTAGGGTGAGTATGGATTAGGGTTAGGTTAAGAAAAGGCTTAGAGTGATCAGTTCAAGAAGTCTCTGACTTATGGTGTGAGAAGTATACGCGAATCGGGACTACCTATTTTAAGGTTCCCGAAACAATAGAAGTTAGTAGTTGAAGGTTCTTGGTGACATGGCTGGAAATTGGTCACATTGACCCCCTCAGATGTATCCACTTCTTGACATCCAAAGTCTGAATATTTAAAATAACCTTTTTTCTTCTCTCAGACATCTGTCTACACTTTAATATCACTCTTATTGTATCCACCTATGTGGCAACTTGACCCGATGCACTTATGTGTGTGAGATTTAGCGTTGATTTTATCAGTCTATTGGTCGATCATTTCCATTAGTTACTGTGTTTATATCATTCATTTGTACCGATATCTTTCAGAATGTGAAGTTCTATGTTATTGATTTAGGTACTCAACTTCGGGTTACTGTGCTTTGTAAGTTTGAACTCTTCACCATCTACCTAAGTCTCTCTAAGGTAACTAAGTAGTATAGTGACGCGAATCTACTGCGAAAAGCCAGATTTTTTTCATGCACCTTGGACATTTAAAAAAAAAATTATTTCCTTAGTTAATATACTTTCTTATTGAATCAGATTAGATGTTTTGCAAAGTACACAGTTTGTAGCGAGAATAATACAATCACATGAAATCCAGTAATAAAAATCCACTGTAGTCTCCTGGGAAAACCAAAAAATCTGTTTGACGTTGAAATGAGCATAATGTCTGTATGTGTATACATCTGTGCCAATGACATCAGTACTGAGCCATGTGATCACCTAGAGCCAGTCCCCAACCACTGGTTCCTCTTATCATCCCAGTGATTAGTATAGTATAATGTAACATACAATAATATGTATAATATAGTGTATAATACAATGTGCAGTATATATATATATATATATATATATATATATATATATATATATATATATATATATATAACATAAAACATAATAATACATAAAATATAATGTATAATATTATAATGTAATGTATATACACATGTGTTATATATTGTATTATATATTATATTATACTTTACTAATCACCGAAATGATAAGAGGAACCACTGGTTGAAGACTTTAGGTGATATGGCTCAGAACCGATGTGAGTGGCACAGATGTATACACATACACACATTATGCTCATCTTAAAAACGCTATACCGAATCTCACCATTTTCTCATTATTTCTTTCTCTCCTTTAGTACTTTATATTTGTTTTGACTGAATTTTCTAATCTTTATCTTCCACTTGACTGCCGTTTTACTTGATGTGGTGATATGAGGTGTGGCAAGTTGGATCGTTACGCGGTAATCCCTGGTCTCTATGTTAATATTGATGATGAATTACTGAAATGAACAGTTGTAGAGCAATCACGTCAATGAACAATGCTCAATTAAGATCTAACCGTTGAGTACTGTTGATCGATGTAAATGATTTGCATCTACTCATGTCAGTCAGTAATATAATTCACACAAGAAATTGTCTATGGGTTTTTTCTTTTTGTGTAAGATAGTTTGAGAATTGCAGGATGTGATAAGTAACCGAACACTTCAATTCAGATCACAAATGATCTGTTTTTCACTTTCACAGTGTTCCTAGTGAACTAATAGTCATATTTCGAAGCATTTGATTAGTCCATCGTTAGGTTAGTGACTGTCGGAGACGATTACTTGAAGTGCATTGACATCATCAAGATGATTGAATGATGTACTATTTGAAACAATGTCGAACGCGGTACAGAAGGGCATCATTTTAAGAATTGATTGGAGGAGTAGAAAAATTGATAGAGAAATGAGAAAAGGCGGATGGTAGACAAACAGAGACAATCATAATAACATTCCTTGGCATCTATATCGCTGCTATTAACCGTTACTACCTTGAAGGAAGGTGTTGTAACCATCAAACCTGTATTTCGTACATGAAGTAAAGATAATGATGGGATATTCATGCTTTAGTAGTGGTATGGATTATTCTCAAATCATCTTTTCGAAGATCCCAGTGTCTAGTTCCTGTGAATTCGCTGATGTGTGGATAGTGTTAAGCTGAAGGGCAAAAAGTGTGCTTCTCGATTGGATACCAGCCAACAGACGTCTGTGTGCTGTTCGACTGAATGGATCTGTAAGAACTATGGAAGAGCGTGAGACTAGGCGATGCCAATTCGTAATCTCTGCCTATGCACCCATCAACTGCAATTTGGATGATACAAAGGATGAATTTTATGAGTTGTCAATTTTGTTACAAAAAGTAAAACGTTCAGATGTAGCTATGATGGCAAGTGACTTTAATGCTCAAGTAGGGAAGCTGTGAACCAGTCGGAAAGGTATCTTGAAGGTATTTGTGAATTTCCATGACAACAAATAGAGAGTGGTGGTCGTCTGTTGTATTTCCCCTCCCCAATAATCACTTGTTTCTGACCAGCACAAGGAGAGGTACTGACTCACATGGCATCCGCCAACATCAAACCAACGATGGACACGTATAGATCATATTGCTTTGCTGTAAGCCATGGTTGGAAAAGATCGGTGGAGGATTGTCGTTCTTTATGGAATGCCAGTTCTGACTCCACCCACGCACAGGTACGGGCTCGTGTATGTATGCGCCTAGCTGGTCGCAGTAAGCAGAGGATATTAAAACCTTCCTATGGTCGATTGTAAGAGGACGACGTCAAGTACGTACTTAGGGATGAGTTACCTAAGAGCTTATCTGAACATGACACGAATGTTCATCCTGAGAAAACCGGTGAAATATTAGTTCTGGTGTAGAAACAGCGGTAACCTACACATGGAGATTAGCAAACGTCATTTGATTTTTTCAACTTCATCCGAACTGATTGACGCGACAAGACTAATTCCAGCTGGCTGTGGCCATGATGAAGAGCGAAAGCAACTCAAATGTGAGTTGACCAAGAGTCTTCGTGTCGATCGCGAGCAGTGGTGGGTCATGAAAGCGAAAGAGATGGAGAAGACATCAACGCTGGCTGATACTCGGCAACTATTTGGTCTTATTAAGAATATCGGCAAGAATAAGACAATGGTGAGTGAAACCATCACCGAAAAGGATGGGATGTTGATAATCTCCTTGGACAGGGGGCTATAGCGTTGGGCAGAACACTTTGAAGCATAATTCAGCTGGCTGTCAGGATCGATTCAATTGCCCAATATCCAGCCTAAACGTGAATGGGATGTAGATGTCGGTCCTCCAATTCCTCCTGAAGTTTAGAATGCTGTGTCTTTCCTGAAACGATGCAAAGCATCAGCACCTGACAGTTTGACACCTTAATTTTTCAAGGATGGAGGTAGGCGATTATTTCTTAAAGTAACGGAGGTACTGTTTAGTGGATACGAATCAAAGGGCGGTCTCATAATACTGTTCTACTTAACTAATAATCCCAGTCTATTAGAAGGGGGAAAATTCTTGACACTCATAGGTGAATTAGTTTGACTAATATTGTGTCCAAGACTCTGGGATCCACTGATATCCTGGGCCTAACTGCAGCTTGAGAAAGCTAGGTAAGTTTCAGACCTGGACAAGAGGGTACATCGATCATATTTTCATCCTTCGATATATTCTGGATTGGACTTGCCTCTACTATGTGTAGTAAGCAAATGTGTAATCCATGTGGTAAATTAATTGGTATATAATGAATACTTTTTAATGATTTTCTAGTATCCACTTAATGTTCCAGTGTTAACTAAGTGTGCAAGTAAGGGAGCTGTTTATTGCTTGAATCTATCCTCCCTTATTCAAGCATTATGAATTTATTATTATTTTTCTCCTTTGCGTTCCTAGTGGAACATAGGGCTTAAGTAGCACGCCTCCATTTTAGTCTGTTCTCTGCAGTCTTTTGAACCTGCCTCCTTGACTGCCACAGGCTTTCACTTCTTCCTCACATGGTCTCCATGTCACCTTCGGCTCGGCTGTCGAACTCGTCGTTTCCCCTTTGGATACCGTTCGAGAGCCTGATGCGTGATGTCCCCAATCCGCCTTCTAAGTGTATGTCCAATCCATCTCCGCTTACTTCTGCTGCATATTTTTTTTAGGTGATAGGTTGTTGGTTGGTTCGTTCCCAGAGTTCCTTGTTACTTATTCTTTCTGACCATCTGATCTTCAGTTAACGAGCCAGCGAAGGCGGCAGTTGTTGATGAATATCTGTAGTTTATTGGAAATGCTTTTCGAAATGCGCCAAGTCTCTCAACCATATAGAAGCACTGGATTGACACTGGTGTTGAAAATCCTGATCTTGTTCATGCTTTGTGCTGAGTACAGTAAATCTTCACACTGATTTAAGGTTAATGAAAGCCTGTCTTGCTATGTTTCCGATCCTTTTTTTGACATCCTCGTGTGTGCCTGTGTCGCCTGTAGTTGAAACGATGCTGCCTAGGTGGGTGGGTGAAGGAGGCTACTTCCTTTAAGTTTCTCCCGTTGATGGTGATTAGAACTTGTCGTTGTTGGTGTTGGTTGGGTATCTTCATCAATTCCATCTTCTCTACGTTCACTTGAAGTGCCATCTTCGCTGTCTCACCTCTTCTATTATCTTGTTAGTTTTTGCCTGTAGTTCTTCGAGTTTGTGCGACAAAACATTAGACATAAATCATCATCGATGAAATCCACATCGTGTGGGCTCTTTTCATCGGTCCAGTCAGCGTATCCACCTCTTCTTACTCCTCACGGTTCGCTTCATGATCCAGTCGACCACAATCAGGAGGATCATAGGTGATAGTAGGTGGCAGCCTTGTCTTACTCCCGTCTTCATGATGAATAGTGCTCAGAAATTCAGCAATGGATCTGGCTCATTGTATGTTCAATGTAACTAACTTCACTGGAATAGTTCAACTGATAAATACATATAGAAGTGGCAGAATCAGGCAGTTTTTCGTTATCTCTCTCGTATCTTGAGTCGCATGATTGTAGATGTTGGGGGGCATAATTTAGCAACTGGGAATGCTCCTTGCAGAGCTCTTCTTCGTATGAACTTAGCCCAGATCTGTCTCATTAGAATACTATCATGTTTGACTTTTAATAAATGAATGAATAGTTTCATAAATAGTTATAATGCTTTACATCTATACTTTCTTTATAAGTAATGGCATTATTCTTTTTCTTTTCAATTCATCCTTATTCAGGCACAACATAATCAGTCACAGTTAATAATTGCTCAAAGAAAGCTGATCAAATTTTGGGGTAAGTTGTTCATATATGTGAACCACACTTTTGGAGGATTACCTTGTTTTCAGTTATATAGCATACTTTGTGTATGTGTGTGTGTTGAACGTTTATCCATTGCTTTCAGGTTGATATTCTTCATGGATTGACACCTATTACAAAACTAGTAGGAACTTAGAAACACTGGATAGTTGTTTCGTCACAGTATGGAATTCCTCAGCAATGAGCACCCACGACCCCATCAAGTTACCATTGAGCCACTGGATCAGAATTGAATAGTCCATATTTCCGATTTCTGTCAGTTCGCGATACAGCACGACAGCCACCCAATATTATCATTGAGTATTTATCCTCATGGTCATCTGGTTTACGTCACTGATCACGACTTCGCATCAGAACTTCGGGAATTCTCTGTCGAAGCTAGTCACTAATGAGCACTAGTTTAATTGAATTTGGGGGTTTGTGTGGATTTGAGGATAAGTCTTGATCAGTGAGGTAAACCTGGTGGCTGTGAGGACAAATACTCAACGATGACATTGGATGGAATAAACATCTAAGGTTGATAAAGGATGATGTAATCAACTAACAGTGAACATGGGTTGCATACAAATCAGGTTTAAGGTGTTTGTAGACAATGTGTTATGATCTGCTGTATATATAATGATATGTTGTTTCGACGCGATACGATTAGCGATACCACAGTGACTTTTCAACATGATATTCAACTGACACCAGAAGAAGAAGAAGGCAGTAAGATTGAAAGTATACTTACTTCAATCGAATAATTTTACAACTGAAAATTCAGTCGTTTATATATCCTTAGATTGCCTTGACCAGGGAAAACAAAATAGTCCATTAAAAGCGTAAAATGGACCAATCAGCGTTTAATATCCTAAACCGCAGTAAAAATAAATAGCATTGCGTAGAGCAGAAAGGACGCGAAAATTAGGTTTAAATTTTACAATGATAATATATACATATACATCTCAGCAAACTTCGAGAGAATTGAGCTTGTTGGTTTTGTTATGGGACTTATCAACGGTGTACAACCATGATCCACCACCCCAGCGATCGAACTCATGATCTTCAGGTTCCGTTGCCAGCATGTTATTCTTGAATCACTGGATCGGATTCCAATGGTCCATATTTCCTACTTATGTGAGTTTACAATACAGCGCGATCTACATCCAATGTTGTCGTTGAATAACTATCCTCATATTCGATTTGGCTGTCCTCTACTGGTCAGGATTTCTGATTGGAACTTCCAGAATCACCTCTTACAGCTAGTCACCATTAAGCGCTAGATTTATTCAATTTAAAGGTTTGTAGATTTTAGTTTGGAATGACATCAGTTGGAGGAATATTGGAAACCTGGTAGGACTGAACAGCTGTTTCATCTTATTATGAGAGTGAAATCAATAAATTTGTATAAACCTCAAGATTAAATAACCTGAAATGAATTGTTAAGGCCAAGGTATAGAAAGGGGTTGAATGAATAGTTTCGGTTTTTCTTTATATATAACTACTTCTTCAGCTATGCATAAGTGATGAAAGCATAGACGTTTGGAGTCGTTAAGGTTAATGTGGTAAATAAAAGCGGATAGTATTCTACAATACATTTCTAGAGGGCCAGTTTACAATGTCCAATGTAATCAGCTCTACAGGAGTATTTAAATTTGTAAATATACATTGATGTGGATATATAAACAGTAACCAATACTTTACACGTCGTTGAGTCAGATGACAACTTGAGAATATCAACCACAAGCTGGAAGAACAGAAGGTTTTATTGATATACTTCGACAGATGGCTGTTCAGTACTTCCACTACATCATTATTATTTGTCCTTTGGGTTCCTAGTGAAATATTGGGCTTCAGTAGCAGCACGTCGCCATTTCACTCTACTCTCCGAACTCCCTTTAACCTGCCTCCGTAACTCCCTATAAGCTTACATTTCTTCTTCACACGATTTACTCCATGTCACCCTCACCTCGGACGCCAAACTCGTCGTTTCCCATTTAGCTTACAGTCGACGACCTGGCCTGGCCTGACACATGATGCCCTCAAACATTTTTCTCAGTATATGTCCAATCCAATCTATCTCCACTTTATTCTGCATGTTTGTTAGGCGATAGGTTGTTGGTTGGTTCGTTGTCAACCAGAGTTCCTTGTTGCTTATTCTTGTTTTTATTATTCTGGCCATCTAATCTTCAGTGTCGAGTGAGGGTAGGCGGTAGCTGTTGGTGTGATGTATGTCTGCAGTTTGTTGGAAATGCTTTTCGTAATGCGCCAACCATCACATAGAGGCACTGACTTACTTGACTGACATTAGTGTTGAAAATCCGGATCTTACTCACGCTTTATGCTGAGTGGAGTTCAGTGCAGTAGATCGCCACACTGATTTCAGAATAATGCACGAATGCCTGTCCTTTTGCCTTTCCGACGTCCTCATCTGTGCCGCCACCTGTATTCGCTGCCTCGCCTCTTCCGTCAACTTGTTAGTTTTCGCTTGTAGATCTTCGAGTTTAAGCGATATGACATTTGACGTAAATCATCATGGGCGAAATCCAAATCTTCTAGGGTCTTTCCATCGGTCAAACAGCGTACGCCCATCTTCTCGCTCCTCACAGTTGTGTGTTGTATGATCCAGTCCAGTGCGGTCGACCACAATGAGGAAGATGATCAGTGATGGTAGGCGGCAACCTTGTCTTTCACCTGTCTTCACTTCACTTCAAAGGTATCACTGAGCTTTCGATTGGCAATCACTTGGTATGTAGCATCGTCATATAGCATGTAAGTGTTGAATGAGTTTAATAAAGATTTATGGCACTCAAACCGTAGTGTTGAAGCAGCTGCCTGCCAAATTACTTCTTGGTCGTTGCTATCGAAGGCCTTTTCAAAGTCAATGAAGTTGAGGTGGAGTTTAGTTGACTGCCCTTCTATGCTCTGTTGTATGATGGTGCGTAGCGTAGTGTTGCAATTTGATCCGCACATAATTTGTACTTCCCGAATCCAGCTTGTTTCGTAGTTTTGAATGCAGAACATTTCTTAGTCTCTTTAGGATGATGCAGCTTAGTATTTTGCTTGGGGTGGACAGCAGCATGATTCCGCGCCAGTTCTTGCAAAGACTTAGGTCTCTCTTATTTGGAAGTTTGACAAGGTAGCTTTTATCCCAATCACCGGGTACATTTCCTTTCCTCGTTCCTTCCAAACCTTCTGCAACAGTGGTGTGAGCATGTACGCTATTTTCTCTGCGTGTATTTTCAGTGATTCTGGAGGAATCCCATCTGGTCCTGCTGCTTTCCCGAGTTTCAGCAGTTTTATGGTATTCAGGACTTCTGCTTCTGTCGTAAGGCTTGTGTTCATTGATAGGTCTGTGGCTGGGCTGGTGGTGGTATTTCTGGACGAGTTGCATATAGTGATGGTGGTTGATTCAAGAGTTTTTTTTGAAGTGATCAGCCCATTGTTTCCTTTGTTTCTTCTCTTTTGTAACTAGATTTCGTTCACTATCCTTCATTGGTTTCGTCTACGTTGATTTCTTCCCAGATATTATTTTGGTTATTTGGTATAGTGTTGTCAAGTCTTTCCTACCTGCAGCCTGTTCTGCTTCACTTGCCAGTGTTTCGTAGAAGTGTCTTTTGTCTTTCCGTGCACTCTTCTTCATTACCTTGTCGAGTTTTTTATGGGTTGTGTTCAGTCTCTCTGCGTTGTTCATCCTTGCACTGCACTGGTTTATCTTCTGCTTCACCGTCACCATCTTCCTCTCCCTCCTCTATCAGCTTCCATGTGTCCGTCGAGATCCATTCCTTGTCTTGTTTCTTCTTCCTTCCTAGCGAGATTATGTAGGTTTCCTTCTATATCGCTTTCAAAGAGTTCCAGTGCTCTTCCACGGAGGTTTCCTCTGAAACGTTGCTTAATATCTCCCATATTTTCCTGATGACTGACGTTAAGATGTCCTTTGTAGTTTAATCCTTCAGTTTCTGTTCTGGATGTTCGACTTGAACTGTGGTGTATCACCAGTTTCTTTGAAGGTTTTCAACTTGATTTGGAAGGTAGATTCCTTGCTCTGGATAGTGACTGGTGCGAACCTACACCTGTTCCCCTCCTTGATCTTTTATCCAGTAGGCTGCGTCTCCACTTTCTTTAGATTGAGATGAAGTCGATCTGGTTTTTAGTGTGTCCATCTGGTGAAATCAAATCCATGTCATTTTGTGAATATCCTTGTTTTTGCACACTGCCTCCAATCACCAAACCACTATTGCATCCCCTTTTAGTTGCAAGTTCATTATTAAATTTTCTTTGGGACTATAATATAGTAAAGGGTAATTCGTTTGTGATCAATAAATTTTCTAAGGTTATCCATTATTCAATAGTATTGTTCTAGGAGTTTCAGGTTAAAAGATGGTCAGAGAAAGCGCTGTACATCGAACTCCTACATCATGATTGTTATTTAGCCTGCCATAAATCTTCCCAAGTTATGACTAACCATTCTGTGACTGAAGTATGTACTTGAATTGGCCACTAATTCTTATTTAATGTCTAATGGTGGTATTGTTCTGCAGAGTGGTACTAATCAATAACTTTCAGTTCTCGTTTCAAGAGCTCCACTAGGTGCTGTTCTGACATAGTTGTCAGAATGTTGTACACTGAGATTGAACGAAATACGCCGATTGAAATGATTGTCCCTGGAGACCTTGTACATATATAATAAATAACAACATGGATGGGACTAATATCTTTTTATAGATTCGAGTCCATATCACTCGGTACTGTAGTCAGAGATGACGCTACTAAGCTATCCAGAATTTGTTTGGCTAGTGACTTAAGAGTGACCAGTTTCAGCACTTAGGATTACTTAACATGGAGTCTCTTGATCTCCAGTCACTAGCCAATACGTGCCATTCAGTCATGCAGAAGATTAAAACACAACCCGAATAGTTCAGTGGTAACTTCTTTGACTGTATCGCTGGATTATACGGGTTCGAACCCCAGAAGTGACATTATTTTCTTCGAGATTG